CGAGGACCTCCTCGAGCTAGACCTGCGCATTAGCACGCTTGAGCAGCGGCGCTCGCTGGCAAGCACCCCGACGTCGCAACGCGCAGCACCCGCGGGCGCCCCGGCGCCCAGCCTTGACGCCCAGCGCGCCACCATGGTACAGGCCATTGCCGCGCGGCGACGCGCGGCTGCCGAAGCCGGGGGTGCCCTTGGTGCTGATGCCCCTGCCCCCAGCCCCGTGAGCCCCACGCAAGCCGCGGCTCAGCGCCTGCGGCGCGAGAATGGCGCGTCCATCACCACGACGCAGCTGCTCGCAGACAGCTACGCTAGCCCGCACGCTGCTGCCCGCGCGCTCCTGCACGTTTCGACGCAGCCGACGGGTGGCTTGGGCTCCGGCTTCCCACAGGGAGGAGGCAGCAGCAGCAGTGGCGGGCCGTATGGCCGACCGCATTCCTCGGAGCCCCACCCCCGGGGGCAACCGCCGCACCAGTGGCATCAGCAGCAGCACGAGCCGTGGCGGCCCTTGGGCCCGGCCAGCGCAGGCCCGCCCCTGGCGACGCCGGGCCTCAGTGGCGGCCGCGCAGCCCCGCCAGGCACGCCCCAGGCCCGCACCCACTGGATGACTGCCGCCGCCGCCAGTCACGACCGGCCGCCACCCCGCGAATGGCGGCCGGACCCCAACTTCCCGTGGGCGGAGGGGGAGATTGCGCACCCCCGGGGCTTCGACCCGGCGGTGCAGCCAGCCTCCCACAACCAAGGGCTTAAGGCCCGTCAGGCCCACCTGCGCCTGAACATGTACGGGTACGAGTTGCGCAAACTCCTCAACGCTCTGCAGACGTACGTGAGCACTCAACTGCAGAACCGCCCGTCCACGGTTGGCGGGGCTCTGCAGCATGCGCTCACCTGCTTCGAAGGCGACGACCAAACGCACGTGAGCGCCTCCATGCCCCTCATCACGGGCGACCTCATGTATGCGCTCCCCCCGCCCCAGCGCTTTGCAGGGGCTTACCTGCACCCAAACCAGGCGAACAAGGTTGGGGCTGTCATCGCTTACAGCGTGCGGGCGCACCTGTACAACAAGCAGCCTGAGCGCGATGTGACCGCGCTGCGCGCTATCCGCCAAGGGGAGACTTCAGTCAGCTGCGCGCGGGTGGACAAAAATGAGCCGCCCAGCGAGGCCCTGGAGCGGTTCATGATGCTTGCGCGTGACCCCCCCATTCAGGCGCGCGTCTCCGTGACGGATATGCTCAACCTGATCGGAAACATGCTGCATAGGCATCTCAACCAGGACTGGCGCCTGATCCGGCAGATGCACATGAGCGGGCGCGTGGCCACCGACAATGACCACGCGGCCATGCTGAGTGCGCTTGAGACAGAGGCCAAGCACATCTTGGACGAGGCGTGGGACGCTTACCTCGCCCGCCTCCCCGAGGGTGACCAGTGCGCCCAGCTGGAGCCTGAGCCCGCCGCAGCGGCCGTCCCCCGGCGTCCGTGCGGCCCCCGCGCGGCCGCGGACGCCACCCTCATGGAGGGGGATGAGGGGGAGGACCCCATGGCAGCTGCGCTGGCCGCCCTCGCGACCCTTGCGGCTGCCGCGGCGGTCCCGGCCGGCCGCCAGCGTCTCAACAGTATTCTTGCGGCAGCAGCCGGCGCCGGCCCCGCCCCGCCGCCCGCCGTCGCGGCGCCCGTGGGAGGGACCGTGCAGCGTACGCCCGCACGCGCCGCCCACCCGGCAGGCCCGCCGCTGGACC